TTCGCCCCCCTTTATCCGGGGCTGTTTTCTCCGCGATGCTCTCCACAGATCTCGAGGACTGCTGAAGTTATTAGCGAGCGGCGGTGAAAAAAAGGCCGATCGTAACAATGTCCCTGCCGCGACAACGTAGACTCGTCTCGTCGGCAATTTATTCGGCAAAATGCCGCGCCGGATCCTCTCGGCGCTTCTGTCCGCGGAAAGGAAATTTATACACAGGGTGTCCCAAAAAAGTCCCTCAATCCGGAAATGGCGGGTTCCTCGGATCATTCGAAGCAACTTCTTCCTTTACAAAAATGTTCTCCGAGGCACCGTTAACGAGTTATCAACGAAAAACAGTGACCAATAAGAATCGAGTACGGCTGACGCGACGCGGCCCAGCCAACCAGCGCACGAAGCCCAGTTCCGCTCATTGGCTCGGTCGCCTCGCGCCAGCCGAGCTCGCCTCTCATTGGTCACTGTTTTTCGTTAATAACTCGTTAACGGTGCCTCGGAGAAAATTGTTGTAAAGGAAAAAGTTGCTTCGAATGACCTGAAGAACCCGCCACTTTCGGATTGCGAGACATTTTCGAGACACCCTGTATTTTCGATCGCGGAGAGAATGAAATTCCAGCGCGAAAAACGGACTTCTTGCGAGTGGCTTACTTTTCCGCGCCGGGAAGCGGCAAGGAACACGGCGCGCTTGGGCCGCAGTAATTGCTTTCAATTCTTCCGAGTGGACGACAGAGGCGAGAAAGCTCGACGAGCTCGCCTTCGCTCGAGATCCGCCGCCCTTTTCTTGCCGTTTCCCCGGAGAAGAGACACATTCATCCTGATCTCGCGGACGCCGGTGGCGTTTCCGAAAACGATCGTCGCCGGCACGAACGAATCGACTCGGTGATAATCGGGAAGCCAAAAGGCGGCGGCCGAACAAAAGATCGCGAGCGAGCGGGATCCGTGGCGTGTTTGTTAATTGTCTCTGCGGGGGAAAGTTTTCCAAGAGGCGGAGAGGACACCGCGAAGTCGTTCACGGTCCCCGGGTTTTTGTGCCTTTGTGCCGCGCGGCTCCGCGAGAAAGAAAGAGAGAGAGAGAGAGAGGGAGAGCAAACCGTATCGTTGGGCATCGGGACAATCGTTGGATCGTCTAATTGGACCGCCGCGTATTGCGGCCGGAGAGGAAAGGCTGCTCGGGAGAACTTAATTGGAACGACGTCTGAGGCCAAAACGAAATTTCGAGGACGTAATTACTGAACGAAACCCCGGGATATTCAAGTGGGCCAAGATACGCGCGCCGAAGAATGGAGGCCTCTTCGCCGAGTGGTCAACGAGTGGCTCCGGCGAGCTTTTGTCCCTTCGCGAACTTGATCCCGGGCTCCCGCAAAGCTCTAATTCCCCGTCCGAAAAAACATATTTTTCGTCTTTGAATGCGGCCGCTCTTTGCGCTCCCGGCTTGGAACCTTTGAACTATCCGCGACTCGATTCCGCGGTCGTTAGACTTTCGCGGAAATTCGTGTTGCGAAAAACTCCGGATTTCCGCGGAACATTTTTTCCCCCGTGCAAACGAATGATTTCTCGCTGGAGGAGAAGTTTCAATGGAAACGGTACCGACGGTGCCTCGGTTGTTAGAACGCGACAGAACGCGAGCGCTGGGATAAGAGGACAATTATTCATTTATTCGGTTATTTATTCAGTTATTTGTTCGGTTATTTATTCATTATGCGGGCGAAATCCCATTAGTACGCGGCATTGAATGTTCAGTTGCGAAAGAAAACAGAGTTCGCAAGGAAAGGAAGAGACGCGATAGAACCGCGAAATTCGCATCGTACAGATAAGATGAATATAATCGCAGGTTATGGACTCGGTTTCCAAAGGCAGAAATTTCTGCACCGAAGAGTCCCATTATCGTTGAATGGCCATTGCCAATAGCGCAGATCCTGTTTATCGGGTCCGAAGAGAAACAATGCTTTATATAAGATTTTGTGATAATTTCGTGAACATGCGTTTATAAATCATCTGCATTGTCTACAGCGTTGAACTAAATCGGAATCAATTTGCCCGATAAATCGCGTTTACGCGAAACTTATATATTAAATGTATATTGTATTTATGTTATTGTTTTCTGCTAATCCGGCGCAATTTAGAGATCCATTTGTTGTAGAAAATCGAACCCGACGATTCCATCATCGTGCAGAAATAAATGGGAGCGCCGGCACGATTGTTAATAAACAAAAAAAAGCAGCGAATTTCAGAAGCGACAAAGCACGGAAATAATAGGAGCGCTTAAATGATTTTTCCGCGATGTTTATTGGATTCTAGTTACCTTAGTTACGCTAATTGCGTTTCCGCTGCGAAAGGTCGATGGGAAACAGTCGCTCTCTCGGAGGGACCGTGGCACCGGCACCGAAATCGATTTCCTTTCGATAGACTATGTCAAAAGCGACGGAAAAGTTCGTCCTGCTGCCGTAGAAAGTCGTGCCCGTTCCAAGCGAGCGTTTTGCTTTTCTCGGAGGGATGGCAAGATAATGTACAGGGCGCGCTCGCAGTCGTTGCAAAAAAAAGAAAAGAAATAAAAAGAAAATCCATCGAAAGCAGAGAATAAAGTTCTGCTCGAATTTCATTCGGAACTCTGAGCTTATTTTCCCCGAATGAATCTGTTGCATCGTGCATCGCCGTTCCTCGACGACGAGGCGAATGCTGCGTTCGTTGGAAGAGCGACGAATCCGTAGTGTTCTACGTTTTTTTTGATCGAAGTACAGTAATTTCTGTCAGAAATGTTTGGAGCTCGGAGACAATTATAAAAAAAAAATTAAAAAGAAATATATATATAAAAATAAATATAAATATTCGAAGACAATTTGGAGTCCACGTGCCACAATTTGGAGGCAATTCGGAGGCCACATGCCACGATTCGAAAGCAATTCGAAGGCAATTCGAAGATAATTCGAAGATAATTCGAAGTCAATTCGAAGGCAATTCGAGGATAATTCGAAGATAATTCGAAGATAATTCGAAGATAATTCGAAGATAATTCAAAGGCAATTAAAAGGCAATTCGAAGATAATTCGAAGGCAATTCGAGGATAATTCGAAAATAATTCAAAGGCAATTCGAGGACAATTCGAAGATAATTCGAAGGCAATTCAAAGGCAATTCGAAGGCAATTCGAAACCATTTCGAAGGCAATTCTAAGATAATTCGAAGATAATTCGAAGGCAATTCGAAAATAATTCGAAGATAATTCAAAGGCAATCAGAAGGCAATTCGATGGCAATTCGAGGATAATCCGAAAATAATTCGAAGATAATTCAAAAGCAATTCGAAGGCCACGATTCGACAGAGATTTTCGACTACGCAAACACCCAACATCAACCCTTAGCATCGACGCAGCAATAAATTACATAGGCGTAGCACTGGCACAGAGAAATTCGCAGCAACCCGAACTTTGGCATTTCCGGGAGAAATTGCTGTACCTACTAGAAATTAGCGTGCACCGGTCTTTCCGTTAAACTGAATCAAACGTTTCTGCTCACGTACAGGATCCGCCGTGTAATACGCGCGCTTCCGAGCGTGCATACAAACGCAACAGAAAGATCGCGAGTCTGCGAAGTTCGCAAAACTGATGCAGAAGAGCCTTTTCTTGCAACAGTTCCGCGAACTTCGGGACCCGATCTCCTGCTTGCCAGCCAGCCAGCGTATGCCAATTATTTCCGTTGGAAAATGCCGTAATATCCGATACAATGGCGGTCTGAGAGGTCTCGATGGCGATGGGTCGGTCTCCTCTCGAATCGCAAAACTTCGAAGGAACCGCGTTTGAAATTGCCGTGGACCACGGTCGTTGAGTAGAATCGATTGCTCCTCGAGCACGTCGAGTCGCGAGCCGGGGACGGCGGTGGGGTGAATTAATGGGACATGACGTCGATGTGACGAGTGCGGAGCGTCCATTATTGCTGGACAAACCATTTCGGACAGGTTGGCTCGCAACCTGCTCCTACACACCTGTTTCTTCTTGCGGCCTCGCTTTCTCCCGAGTCTGTCGCGTGCAATCCCATCGAAGAAGCGTAATTATTTCGTAATGACAATCGATCTTCGTGGTGTATACGAGGGAAATTATCTCGTCAGTTCACTGTCTCGTCTAATAGGAGTACAATCGTGCGCTGCACCGATGCAATCTGTATGATAATTCAAAGGGCGAGGTCGATTTGTCATTTTCGTAAATTTGGATCTCAATTGTACTTCGAAGTTTTATATTTTGCTGGTATTTATGGATTTAATTTATGAATGTAAAGAGGCTACTCTGTTTCTTGTTCTCCTATTGTTTATCGTGGACAAATGTATGTCCACGCTTCTCAGAAGGAAATGGTAGCTTTTTTTACGCAAAACCGTCCAGGTGACTAAAAATAGCCATTTTCTTGGCTGCTCGTGAACTTCCGGAAAACTAGAAAATAGCCGTAACTTAATCAAAAGTAATTGAAACTTAATTTTTTCTTTTAAATAAGAACCCCTCTTTTTAAGAACCAAGTCAGTGGAATACTTTTGAGACGTTAAAAGAACTAATTTGCTGGATAATATGTAAAAATGTTCTTACAAAAATAGGAATTGAGTGGAATGACCCCCTAAAAAAAGAAAATAACAAAATCACGATTTCCAATTCTTTTTAATCTGAGCATGCCACGGAAATTCAAGCAATGCATTTTTTAGGTAATTATCGCTAAATTATATGCATGTAAGATAATTATGAAATAACAATTTTTGTAACCATTGTTTAGAAAACTGGTCCTACGACTATCCTATTTGTCCACGACTGTAGAAAATCTATCTGTATTTTATATGTTAAATATTTTGTACCTTTCCGTAAGTTTGTAGCGCGTAATTTATCGACGAATCTCGCATCAGATTTAAAGAAGCGAACGAAACGTAATCGAAGTTCGTTTCGACACGGGGCTCAAGGGACACGCGGAAGCTGAGAGCGAAGCGAGAAGGAACGCTTGTCGGACGGATTTCAATATGGTCGACGTTAACTTGCAGAACTATGCGAGGAATGGGCCCTGGCGAATAGTCGCGAATGCGTGGAGGGCAGCGGTTCTGCGGGCACGACGCACGAGGAATCCGAGGATGCGTCGGAAGCCCGGTTCACCCTCAAATATTTGGGCAGCACCCTCGTCGAGACCCCCTCGAGCGAAGAGGCCACGGCGGAAGCCATCAAGACCGTCATTACGATGGTACGTACCGCGTACACACTTTAATCCATACTAATTTCGCAATCCCGGCTTTTCCCTGTCTCCGCGAACCGCGTTCCCAGAGGACTCGAATAAAAAGGACACGCCCCTTGTCGTCCAAGCCCCGTTCCGCCTTTATTCGCAGCCACGACGATCGCAGAATCTTCTACGGGGTGTTTCGTAATTATGTTAACACTCGGGAAGAAGTGATTCCTAATATCTTGGTAAATATATGATGTAAAAGCGTCGAACTTATAAAAAGAAAATCTCAAAAATGTCTCGCGATCCAGAAGCGGGAGATTCCTCGGGTCATTTGGAGTAACTTTTTCCTTAGCGAAAATGCGACCCGCGGCTTCGTTTACGAGTTATTGACGAAAGAAACCGACCAATCGGAGAGCGAGCGCGACCAGCGCTCCGCCCTTCCAGCCAATACCGCGTCGCGCCGGTCGTCTGACGCAGCGGCAGTGGTCACGAGGGCGGAGCGCCGACTGCACTCGATCTCTCATTGGTCACTGTTTTTCGTTAATAACTCGCAAACGAAGCCGCGGATTGCATTTTCGCTAAGGAAAAAGTTGCTTCGAATGACCTCAGGAATCATCTCTTTCCAGCTGTTAACATAATTATGGAACATCCTGTAGACGTGGTTTGGTAGCATCGATGGAACTCGTGGACGATGTTCATTTCGAACAAAATTATTAGAAACATCGATACGGAATATAACCGATCGTTTGCACGGCTCCGCCCGGAAGTACAATAAACGAAAAGTAATTTTAATATCTGTAAAATTGATATCGTTTCTTTGCCGTCCGCGTGCCCCGTTTCATCTTCGCCCGGAGCATCGAAACCCACCGTAACCCGACACTTTTTCCGTAGATTGAAAACCGAGTTATATCACCGACTCGAAGCGGTATCGAATAGAATTCGCAGCAATGAATTATTCCAGCCGATTTATCATTCAAGATAAATAATGGACCGCGGCGAGTTAATTTATTATACGAAATGACGAATCGTTCCGTACGATTTATTATTTGAAGTGCTCGCTACGACGATCGATTTGCCGTTATTACATTACGCGTGGACGAGGGGTTTTATGGATTTACGTTAACGAAGGTTGCGTAAAATGAAAATCGGTGAAAGAATTAAGAGAGGGAAGTTCAGAGTGTCGCGATGCATTTAATTCGCGCGGATTAAGATGATCGATGAAAGAAATAAAATTGTGCTCGGCTCGCGTGTCGTCTGCAATCGGTGCGGACGATCTTTATCTTGCACGGAGATCCGCCGTCTGATTACGCGTTACGCTGACAAATTTTGTACTTTTTCATTCGAATGTACGGGCAACCTTCCTATAATAGGGTTGATAGGTTCCTAGAAAATGTCGTGATATAATATAATATGTAAATATATATTATATTATTATATAATATATTATATGATATTATATTATTATTATGTATATTATTGTATAATATTATAATATATATATATATATATAATAATGATATAATATTATACAATAATATACATAATAATAATATAATATCATATAATATATTATATAATAATAAAATATTATAATATATATAATAATATAAACCGTGTTTTATGAGACCTAGAGCCAGTACAAAAGGGGGGAGGGGGCTAAATTCTGAAAACTTATTAAAAGCAAACATTTCTTTTTAATTCCATATAAGCAACTTAACTTTTATTAAAAACATAAATGTACGTACAACACAAAACGAAAGAGGAAAACCAAAAATATTATTTTCATTCAATGTAACCTAAATTTAATAAATTTCTTCCTCGTCGCTACTCGGTACAATCAAACGAGAACGTTTATTCAGTTCAACGATGTCATCTTCGCTTTCTGAACCTTCTTCTTCATTCACATTTTTTGCACCTTCTACCCTCTTTAAAAAATCTGTAATTTTGATCTGTTCGCTCTTTTTTACAAGATCATCATCCCTTTTGGATTTTCGGCCATTTTCAGCGAAAGGATTTATATTTATACACCCTTAATTATAATAATTATATTTTCCGGTAGAGACGCTATAGTTCATTATTTCCTCCCGCCATTATTATTTCAGGATAATTTAATTTTTAAATATGTCGAGCAATCATCGTGTCATCCAGTGCCGTAGAAGTAGAGTGCCGTAGAAGGGTTCTCGGAATTTTCTTATCGCGTTAGAGCGAAACCGTGTTACAGGTTGCAGCGCTATATACGAGGAGGGTTCCCGCAATTTATCCGATCGCGTTAGAGCGAAACCGTGTTATAGGATGCGGTGTTTGCAGGAGGTCCGCCTGTATTTCATAATTCGAATCCGCGACATTTCACGGCGCGGATCGGCACGCGTTACGGCGGATCGTTCGCGGGCGGGGAAATCGAGCAATGTTGCAAGACGAATCGCGCGCACAGTGCAGTTTGATAGATCGCGGTGTCGCGGCGTGTATCCAATTTGACGCGTTAAAACGGAACGGGGGACGGGGGCCCTTCTCGTGAAAAAAATCGGCCTCCGCGAGGCGAGTGATCGAAGCGCTTCTGGAAAAATGGAATGCATGAGCGACGTCGCGCATAAATCTCTCCGTGGAAGCGTGCATCGGCACGGCACGGCACGCACACGCATACACGCACGCACGCGAATGCACGTGCACACGAGAAACACGAACACGAACACGTTGGACGCACACGCACGGGTTCCGCGTTCGCGTCGCGTACGGCTCATTAATTTATCGACAAAGCGAACTATGCGCGTCGCGATCCGATAACGCCGATAAAGTTCCGCCGGCGCGCAACTTTTCAATGAAATTACTTTCACGAACTTCTCCGAAAATATTCCCGGCCTTTACAATCACTAAACCGCCCCGCTCTCTCGAACTTGTTTTAATCGCATGACCGGAAACCAAGCCGCCTCCGCTTCGATTCTGGATTATATTGATCTACGGGGCACGCTCAAAGTGGCCATTCGCCGCCATTCTTTTCTTTTTTAGGTGAAAATAAAATAACGAGGATTTATTGAGATTTTTAGCCATTCTTGTTGCACTCGCGCCGTGGATTTTGCGCGTTTTTGCGAGGAAAATCGGTGGCCGCAATTTGAGGCAAAGAGTACGATTCGAGCGATTGAAGCGGGATCGATGCAGTACTTTCGAGTTGTTGGAATAATTAACCACTTGCTCTGTCATTTTTTTTCACAGCTATCGCTGCAGCTTTTTCGCAGGTACACGCGACTCTTTCGCTCGGTACCGAGAGGGTTAAAGTTCGATAATAGAAAGATCGATGCAGCTTAAAAGAAGCGTTATATACATATACATATATAATATATATAATATATATTATATTATATTATTTATATATATATATATATATATATATATATATATATATATTTCTAATATGTAATAATAATATTTATA